TGCGAGTTTTTCCAAATACGATCAGTCGATGGGTCAGTTGTTTGCTTCCATACGCGAGCAAAATTTCCACAAGCGAGCAGACCTCAAGGTAGGTTCCTTGACACTGGTGAGGGGCTCTTGCTCTTGATCTTGGGAATTGTATCTCATTTGTTTGTTGGACTATCTTATTGAAACTTGGGCAATGTATGATGGAAAGATGCTTCTTAACGTACACCAAAAATGAAAGAAATCTAAGCATAAATAATGGAGTTCACTTCTCAGCAATTAGCCACCCCTTAGTGGTAATTTCGAATGGTTTTTATGGTTGTATTCTCGTTTTTTTGGTCTCATTTGATAGAATGGAAGATATATTACAGAAATAGATATGATTTTGATTGCTTTCACAACGAAAAGTGCCTTGAAATTGAGCTCAACCTAGGAGAAATGGTCCATTGCTTGGCTGTTTCAGTGTAAACAAATAACGTCACTGTCCATTCCAATATGCAGTCGTGAATGGTTTGACATATTTATACAATTATTGCAATAAGGAATAACGGTAAATCTTATATTTTTTGTGTGAATAAAAATTACAAATAATTTGTATAATAATAATAATATGTATAATAATAATATGAATAATAACAATACATATAATAATAATAATAATAATAATAGTATAATACAATAAAAATAATAATAATAATAATATAATATGTATAATAATACTACATATATAATAATAATGTACTACATATAATAATTATAATAATAGACGGCTTCAAAAGGCCGTCACTAGATGGCAGTGTTTACCACATCAAAGAGGGAACGGCTGTGGCCGCCTCCACCTGTTACATAATGACATATTTTATTCATTCTAGAGTATATATTGTGTTTCTATGTTATTTATATTGTCTGTTATGTCATATTAGATGAGCTGTGGTATATAAATAAGCCGTATAGATGATATTAATGAAATTATTCATGAAGTATTTTGCCCGATTTCCAGACAAACTCTCGTCCACCGCCGACACTGCCCATACCACTACATGAATGACATATTTTATTCATTCTAGAGTATATATATCATGTTTCTATGTTATTCATATTGTTTGTTATGTCATACTAGATGAACTGTGATAGATAAATAAGCCGTATAGATGATATTAGCAAAATTATTCATGAAGTATTTTGCCCGGTGTCCAGACAAACTCTCCTCCACTGTTGACACCGCCCATACCACTACATGAATGACATATTTTATTAATTTTAGAGTATATACCAGGTTTCTATGTTATTTATTTTGTTTATTATGTCATATTAGATGAAGTGAGATAGATAAATAACCCGTAGAGTTGATATTAGCGAAATTATTGAAGTACGCACAGAATTCCACTGGAACGGATTATGTAATTGCATTTCAGTTAATTTAAATGAGGAAAATTGACTCTGCAAACGAGCAAATCCAGTTGCGAGCAAGGCCATGGAATGGATTAAACTCACAAGTAGAGGTTCCACTGTACAACTATAAAAAACATACGAAAAAACGGTGCAAAGTCACTGTTTTAATCGAAAATTACGGTCTCATTTTGTTTTCTCTCATTATGCACTGTGTGCTGCAGGATTTGTTTTATGTGGTGCACACATACCACATAGATGTATTCTCTCATATCTAGGCCCAAATTTATTACTCACAGCTTATCAGAGTGAGCTGAGCTCATGGCGTAGATCTACGGTTTGGACCCTCAACGTATAGCCGAAGATCTACGGCATGGACCCTCAAAGGGTTAATAATCATGTCTGTTTTTTGTTGTAACTAATACATAGGCTGCTAATACATGTACTGTACATGTATTTAGGTATTAGAAGTACCCAGTGAAAATAAGCCACTGACTTTTTTGGGGGGTTGTCCTAGCTAATGTGCATATAGAGAAAAGAACAAGAAGACACAGTACCATGACTGGAACAATACACAAATAACCTGCACATAGGAGAGAGAAGCTATGATGACATTTCGGTCCTACTTGGACCAAATTAGTCCAAGTTGGACCAAAATGTTATCATCACTTTTCTCCTGTGTGCAGGTTATTTGTGTAGTGTACATATAAATTATCACATAAAACAATTGTAATCATCCAAAATTGTGTAATTCTATCCAAATGAACTTGCTTGCATATTAAAATATATAAATCATGCCACATTTGTTTGACCATTTATACATTGTAACCAAAATCTATTCTGTAAGAATAGTAAAACAAACTATACAGTACTGTATTAGCATTTTTGGGCTAAAGTTTACAACTACAGCCTCTGCTCACTTAGTGACATACTTGTTTACTAATGACTCAAACTTAAGACAGTCTCTCTGACCAGTATGCATACCTAAATAATGTATGTTAACCCTTTGATTGTTTCGGTCGTATATATACATCTTATGAGCCAATGTGTTTGACGTATATATACTCAATAATTCTAGCGGATTCAAATCAAGCAGGAGAAAGCTGGTAGGCCCACATGTGAGAAAATGGGTCTGTGTGGTCAGTGTGTGCAGTATAAAAAAAATCCTGCTGCACGCAGTGCATAATGAGAAAAAAAAAATCCGACCCTGTTTTTGGACTAAAACCCCAACTTTGAGGTGTATTTTTGTATAGTTTTCATGGTTATATTCTCATAGTCACATTTGATAGAATGGAAAACATATATAGAAATGGAGGTGATTTTTGATTGGTTTTACTACAAAAAGACCTTGAAATGGAGCTCGAAGTAGGGGAAATGTTTGATTTTTGATGTTCATTGTCCAATAAATGTCCAGCTAGCCATTCTAACATGCAGTCATGAATGGGATGATGTTATTTATACAATTATTACAATATTGCAGTAATCTACATAAAAGTAAATCTTCTATTTTTTGTTTGAATAAAAATTCAAAATAGAAAGCAAGAATAATATCAGAGGGGCCTGGAGATGTGACTGATGAACAAAGAAAGTTTTATTTTAGAGCCAGGAATGTGTGCATTGTTCATTCTGGACCCTATTTTGAAATTGGCATATTATTTAATTTGCATGAAATTGGGCAAATTGCCAAATTCTGACCACTTTATTGGGTAGTTGAAATCGATAAATGGGCAGTTTCTTGTACTCAGTGGATAGAACAAATGGAGTTCTAAAGAAATAGCTATGAGTTTGGTCGACTGGAACAATGGAATTAGCTGAAAATAGGGCTCAAAATGGGCGAAATGGCAGATTCGTAAATATCGCTGAGGACGCTAACTTCGCAACAGCTTAATTCCATAAGTTTTCCATAAAATTTGTTACTTTTGGTGTCATTACCATCGGGAAAAGATTCTCTATCATTTCAAAAGGAAATTTTTTTTTTTTTTTTCAAATATTTTACGACACCGGGAGACGCCTCAGGATTTGGGGTTGCGACAGTCAAAGGGTTAAAGCTGATTTCTTCTATTCTGTTTATTGCAATATGTATGCAGAACACTTCTGTATAAACATTTAACCCTTTCGGGGTTTCGGCTGTACTAGTACGGCTTATACACCAGGGTTTTTGACGTACTAGTATACTCATAAATTCTAGCACCCTCAAATCTAGCAAGAGAAAGCTGGTAGGCCTACATATGAAAGAATGGGTCTATGTGGTCAGTGTGCACAGTATAAAAAAAATCCTGCAGCAAACAGTTCATAATGAGAAAAAAAAACTTTGACCGTGTTTTTGGTTTAAAACAGCGACTTTGCACTGTATTTTTGTATGGTATTTATTGTTGTATTCTAGTTTTCCTGGTCTCCTTGTATAGAATGGAAGACATTACAGAAATTGAGATGATTTTGACTGGTTTTACAATGAAAAGTACCTTGAAATTGAGCTCAAAGTAGCAGAAATGTTCGATTTTTACTAAAGTTCAAAAGTAAACAAATCATGCTAAGCGTCCAATACACGTCAACTGGTGAGTCTAATATTCTTTCACAAGTGCGCTGCTATTATTTATACCATTTCTACACTAATGCAGTAGTCTGCATAACAGTAAATCTTAATTTTTTTGTGAGAATAAAAAATCAAAGTGGAAAGCAAAAGAAATGTAAGAGGGGCCTAGGGACATGACTAATGAACAGAGGAAATGTTATTTTAGTGCCAGGAATGTCTTTCTTGTTTATTCTGGACCCTATTTGGAAATTGGCATCTTTTGAAATTTGTGTGAAATTGGCAAAATTGCTAAATTCTGACCACTTTATTGATTGGATAGTTGAAATTCTGTAAATGGGTGGTTTCTTGTACTCATTCAATAGAAAAAAAGGAGTTCTAGCAAAATATTTATGATTTTTGTAGACTAGTACACTGGAATTAGGCGAAAATAGGGCTCAAAGTGGGCAAAATCGCCGATGCGTAAACATCGTCTAGACCGCTAACTTCCCAAGAGCATAATTCCGTAAGTTTTCCATCAAATTTCATACTTTTGGTGTCATTATGATCGGGAAAAGATTTTCTATATTTTCATAAGAAAAAAATAATTTTTTTTTTTTAAATTTTGGCGACCATGAGAACAAGTCTCTGAGAGGGGCTGGCGACCCCCAAAGGGTTAAAAATATACCAGATATGTTATAAATGGTGCAAAGGTGTTATTAAAACAATATCAGAGCTGGTTGACACAAACCCACTACCATTATAGTATGCTCCTCACTTAGCGACGACTCCGTTTACCAACGTGGTCTTAGGAATGGAACTCTGTCATTAGTGAGGAGAGGCAGTACTATTGAGGAGAGGCTGTACTACTCAGCAGAACTTGGGCATTTGTCTACTTTTTGCAACATGTACAACCAATGTATGCCACTATGTACACAACAAAATATTATCTCTACAGAAAAACAAATTTAATATTGTACAGTTCAAACTACAATTAATGGCTGATGTCTGCTGAGTAGATATTGTGTACTTTTACCCATTTCTGTAACAGCAGTATATGTTATCATTGCTCTATTTAACTACTGTTTTAATTTCATTTTTATCAATTTTTTTTCAGGTAGTATAAGATTTTTTCATAAGGCTTTACCATCATGGTCAAAACAACTCAGTACCTGCGTTATGTGCCTGGGTCAGTATTTGGACTGGTTGGCACCGGCAGATGTGTGCGGTTTGTCACTAGGTTCAGCCAGACAGCAAAGTATGTGGCAGTTCCTGCTTGTGAGCGTGTCCTTGTTTGGGATATTAGAAGAGCTACTAAGGTATATAATTATATTTGTTATGTGTGATAAAGCTTACAGTATCACTATTGTATTATTCCCTTCAAGGAGGTGTTATGATGTAGGTGAAAGGCTCTTGAGCTAAAGAATTGGAGCTGCTACTCCCTTTCCTTGGCAGGAAACTGATTGCTTCCCATTGCCCTGGCACTGTATGAATGTAGTAATAATAATAATGCTGCATACTGTATATACTATTCTGCATATAAAATAAAGCTTACATTTACAGTGGAACTTCGGTATGCGACCTTAATTCATTCCAGAAGGCTGTTCGAGTGCCGCTCCGTTTGAGTATCGAACAAGTTCTTCCCAACCAGTTTTCTGTTTGGTTGGCTGTTATCACTAATCATAGTAGGCTCCATGGTGACTTATTTACACAAATAATACAAAAAACACCAAAAAATGTGAAGAAATGCGAAATAGTTTACAGTGAAGTTCTGGCAAGTCGTATTTGTTTGGTCAAGTGCCGAGCTTTGTTTGAGTAGGGAGCTGGTTGTATGCTGAGGTTCTACTGTATACTCATACTTAGGATATGATTACTAAAATCTAAGCTGTGCAGTAGTTGCACTTTTGATTCTCAAGTTTTAACTTTCAGTGGCTCTCGTGTAGAATTACGTCATTGAGGCCAGAGTCCCAGAATGTAGTTGTGTGCCATGAGCTCAGCTCATTTACACAAGCTGTGAACTGTAACTTTTGGCCTAGATATAAGAGAACAGGTCTGTGTGGTGAGTGTGCAGAGTATAAAAAAAAATCCTACCCCTAAGTGGTGAATGATGGGAAAAGCAAAACCTTGAAAATGTGTTTAGTTTAAAATAGCCACTTTGAGTGTTTTTTAGGATGGATTTTATGGTTTTATTGGTGATTTCTTGGTGTCATTTGATAGAATGTAAGACATAATACTGAAATACAACATGAATTTGGTTGGTTTCAGGACCAGCAACAGGGTGGCTGACCAAGCAGTCAACAGAGAAGCCTGGTTACAGGATGTGCTGCGAGAGTAGGAAAACTCTTGAAACTGGTCATTGGTAAACTATTTACAGGCATGTTAGCCATCAGCATAGCAGTAGGTAGAATATTTGTATTCAGATATTAGTGCCAGGAAAAAAGACCCCCCCCCATACCATCAATATGATAACATTCATCTTTGCAAATATAGAGCCTAAAGCCAGCAGTGAGCAACAAAACACCTTTCATCCATGGACTTCTTACAGAGCCACATGCAATATTCATGATTTTCACTGAGACCCACGTAAAGGATCACTTTGACAATGAAATATGGATCCCGGGTTATAACCTATTCAGATTCGACAGTGAACAGGCAACAGGGGGAGCGGGGGGGATGCGGCCTGTATGTCAGTCACTGATATGCTCGGAACTACTAAACACCTCAAATGATGATGATGATGTTTTGTTAGTAAAGATCAAGAACCAAAACCTGGTCATTGTGGTTGTATACAAAGCCTCCGGAGGCAACTTCCCAACAATTTCAGGAACAGCTTTTGAAAATAGACCACTGTCTGGAAAATCTCCCAGTTCTTGCCCCAAACATCTTGCTCCTGGGGGAATTCAACTTAAGGCACTTAAAATGGAGGAATGTAGCAAATAATGCTGTAGCAGAGACAACCCCAGGGGGCAGCTCAGATGAAAACTTGCACACGTGAGCTTTTAAATCTCTGCTCCAAATTCACCTTAAACCAGCAAATAATAGAGCCAACAATATTGGAGAATACACTGGACCTCATCTTCACTAACAATGATGATCTGATTTGAAATACAGTGGAACCTCAACCAATGATATTAATCCGTTACAGAGAGCTTGTTGTTAGTTGAATTTCTTGTTAGTCAAGTTAATTTTCCCCATAAGAAATAATGGAAATGCAATTAATCTGTTCCAGACACCCAAAAGTATGAATTTTTTTTTTTCACATGCAATATACATTTTCCTACACAGAAAAAGGATACATGCACAATAAATACACGTACTGTACTAAATGAAGAATAAGTGACACTTACCTTTATTGAAGATTTAGTGATGTGTGATGAGATGGGAGGAGGGGAGATGGAGGTGTATTTTGGAAAGGGAATTTCCTTCCATAAGGACTTTAGGTACCAAGTCCTTTTCTGGGCTTACTTCCCTTCTTTCTTTAATGGCACTGGGAACAACTGAGAGTCACTGGACCTCCGTTGCACCAAAAATCTTTCAGTAGAGCTCTATACCTCACGTTCTTTTAAGATTTTCTTAATATGGGCCACAACGTTGTCATTGTAAAAGTCACCAGCACGGCTTGCAGTAGCTGTGTCAGGGTGATTTTCATCCATAAAGGTTTGCACGTCAACCCACTTTGCACAAATTTCCTCAATCTTTGAAGAAGGCAACTTCCTTCATTTCTCTCTCCCCTCCTCTGAAGCAATTTCCTTAGTTGTGTCCTTTTCCTGTTGCAGATGCTCTTGCAGCTCATCAGTGGTTAGTTTTTCATTGTCGTCCTCCACCAACTCTTCCACATCCTCCCCACTAACCTTCAACCCCATGGACTTCCCCAATGCCACAATAGATTCCACAACTGGCATAGGCTTCTCAGGGTTAGCCCCAAGCCCTTCAAAATCCCTCTCTTCTACACATTCTGACCACAGTTTCCTCCAAGCAGAGTTTAAGGTCCTGTTAGTCACTCCCTTCCAAGCCTTGCCTATAAGGTTTATGCAATTGAGGATACTAAAGTGATCTTTCCAAAAGTCTCTTAGGGTCAGTTGAGTGTCTGAGGTCACTTCAAAGCACTTTTGAAACATTGCTTTGGTGTACAGTTTTTTGAAATTTGAAATGACCTGCTGGTCCATGGGCTGGAGGAGAGGAGTGGTATTAGGAGGCTAGAATTTCACTTTGATAAAACTCAAGTCCTCTGAAGGATGAGCAGGAGCATTGTCTAATACCAGGAGGCACTTAAGGTCCAGTTTATTTTCCAGGAGGTAATTTTTCACAGTAGGGCCAAACACATGATAAAACCAATCATAGAAAATGTCCCTAGTGACCCATGCCTTCCACATCACACACAAATTAGCCTTGACATTGTTTTTCTTGAAAACACTGGGAGTTTGAGTGATACACAAGTAGAGGCTTCACTCTGCAATCCCCACTAGCATTACTACACAACATTAAAGTAACCCTGTCCTTCATAGGCTTGTGTCCTGGGAGTGCTTTTTTCTCCTGTGTAATGTAGGTCCTGTTTGACATTTTATTCCAAAACAGGCCTGTTTCGTTACAATTAAACACTTGTTGGGGTTTTAATCCTTCAGCCTCTATGTACTCCTTGAATTCCTGCACATATTTTTTAGCCGCTTTTTGGTCCGAACTGGTAGCCTCACCATGCCTTACCACACTGTGTATGCCACTACGATTCTTAAACCAACCTTTGCTGGCCTTAAATTCACTCACATCACCGCTAGTTGCAACTGCCTTGCCTTTTCACATATGATTGATTGAGAGATGCTATCTCCTGATATCTGTTTTACGTTTATCCACACCAATAACAGTCTCTCAACATCTTCGAGTACTTGCGATCTGTGTTTTGAAAACATACTTGCACCTTTCGCAATAACAGCTTCCTTGATTTCCTTTCTGTTGGCAAAGATAGCAGCGATGGTTGATTGGGGTTTGTTATACAACCTGGCCAGCTCGGAGACACACACTCCAGTTTTATACTTTGTGATTATCTTCATTTCAATTGTAATTCTCACCCTTTTTACCACAGGGTTGGCACTAGAAGCTTTCTTTGGTCCCATGGTGGCTTATTAAGCAGTTACAAGCACTAAAAACACTGGACTAATACAAAATGTACCGAATGTATGCGTGGAAGCAACCACACTGGCTCGTAAACATTGGCACACTAACTGAAGGCAGGGCAGCTAAGGTGCAGTCAGGCCACAAGGCCGCGTGGATGCTTTCGGGACGAATGATGTTAGTCAGGTTTTTCATCATTGGTCGGGCCAAAAATTTTACGCTAAAACGCTTTGTTAGTCGATTTTATCGTTAGATGATGCCTTCGTTGGTTGAGGGTCCACTCTATTACCATATCAAAACAATGTACTCAGATCACAACATAATAGAGGTTTAGACATGTATGTGCGAGGCCCCAGACCAACAAAATGTCATCAGTCATGAGGAAGCCTTCACCAAATTCAGCTTAAGTAAGAAAAACATAAGGTGGGACCAAGTCAGCCAGGTCCTAAATGATATAAACTGGGTAAGTATCCTAAGCAACATGGATCCAAACCTATGTCTAGAAAAAATTAACTTAAAACTTAAAGGAATATGCTCAAGGCATATTCCTTTAAGGAAAAGGAAGAGAAGATGTAAACTAGAAAGAGAAAGGCTCTTCTGTACAGGTGAAGACGAAGAATAAGAGTGTGGCTAAAAGAGGCCAGTATATCTAATACGAAGGAAGGCACTGGTCAGAGAAATAGCAAGCATTGAACTTAAGCTAAAGGAATCTTACAGGAGTCGAGAAACACTGGAAGAACTAGAGGCTATAAATGAAATTGAAAGAAACCCAAAATATTTCTTTTCTTATGCCAAATCTAAGTCGAGAATAGCATCCAGTATTGGGCCCCTACTTAGATGAGATGGGTCCTGCACAGATGACAGCAAGAAAATGAGTGAGCTACTCAAGTCTCATTATGACTCGGTTTTTAATGAGCCACTAACCAGCCTGAGAGTCGAAGACCTAAATGAATTTTTTATGAGCAAAACACAGAATTTGGTAGATTTAAACCTATCTGATATTATCCTGACACCAAATGACTTTGAAAAGGCAATAAATGACATGCCCATGCACTCTGCCCCAGGCCCAGACTCTGGAAACTCTGTGCTCATCAAGAACTACAAAAAACCTCTATCATGTGCTTTTAACATCCTAATGAGAGGGAGCATGGACAAGGGTTGCAGCAGCACAGCTGCTAAAAACAACAGACAGCCCCACTCCACAAAAGGGGCA